GAGCAACCACTTTCAGGCAGGACTGGATTAATTCTCCTGTGGGCCCAGGGCTATTAGATTTTGTGAGGCCCTGTATACAAGTCTTTTCCCTAATTGAAAACAAAATGATCACAATTATGGCATCGAGGCTATTAACGCTATACTAAACTTGCCTTTTAATTAACATTAAGCCATTCTGTGGTTACATTTCAGTTTTAAAACATATAGAATATAGTTAAGTTAATTCAAGATAGCCTACTTCTTACCTTGGAACAGCTATTATATTAGTTTCTTTCTGAGAGGGAGTTTGGCTGCAGGAGGGGGCTCCAGACTGGAGCAGAGTGTTGGAGTACGGGCTCTGGAAGGGAGTTTGGTGCAGGAGGGAATTCTGACTTGGGGCAAGGGGTGCTTACCACAGACGGCCCCCGGCTGGCAGCGCAGCAGGGCTCTGGCAGGCTGCCTGCCTACATGCTGTGGCCCCACGCCACTCGCGGAAGCAGCCAGCTGCTGGCACATCTCTGCGTGCCCCTGAGGGGAGAGGGACAGCATGTCTCCATGCGCTGCCTGCACCCACAAGTGCCGCCCTTGCAGCTCCCATTGGGAGCTGTGGGGACAGTGCTGGGGATGGGGGCAGCACGTAGCGCCACCTCACCCCCTCCCCTCCCCAGGGGCCACAGAGACGTGCCAGCAGCCAGCCACTTCCAGGAGCGGCGTGGGGCCATGGCATGCAGGCAGCCTGCCTGAGCCCTGCTGCGCCAAGGCCCCCTTTTGCCCAGGGCCCTGGGCTGCAGCCCCTAAAGCCCCTGCGTTAATCCGGTCCTGCTTTCAGGGAAATATCTCAATATCACAAAATTGAGGTTGGGGTGTGGGAGGGGGTGAGGGCTGTGGTTGGGGGTGCGGGTTCCGGGGTGGGATTATGATAAAATGCATCTATACATCATTATAATAGTAATTTGAGCTCAGTGTAGGACAGTAATTTTGTTTCACAGAGGATTTTGAGATTTCCAAATCTGGTTCTGTTATGATTTGGAACAGAAACCATAAATTTCAAAATTCCTCATGAAATGGCATTACCGTTCTCTGCCCAGCTCTACTGAGAGCCCTGGTTATGGGACAGTCCTCCTGGCAGGCTGCTAGGGATGCTGAAGCCCTGGAAGCTCTGACTCGTAGGATATATTTAACCTGGAGCTGGAGGTGTAATTTTCAGCTTGGGCAGACATACCTATGCTAGCTTTGATGAAGTTAGAGCACTAAAAATAGCAGTATAGCCACAGCTGCACATGTGACAGAATAGACTTGCCGTCCCTATCTGAAACCCTAGGTCAGTGGTGGGCAATCTGCGGCCCATCAGGGTAATCTGCTGCCGGGCCGTGAGACAGTTTGTTTACATTGACTGTCCGCAGGCATGGCTGCCTGTATCTCCCAGTGGCCGCGGTTCGCCATTGGCCGGGAATGGTGAACCACGGCCACTGGGAGCTGTGAGTGGCCGTGCCTGCGGACAGTCAATGTAAACACTGTCTTGTGGCCTGCCAGAGGATTACCCTGATGGGCTGTGTGCGGCCTGTGGGCCACAGGTTGCCCACCACTGCTCTAGGTACATACTCAGGGCGGCTAGCTTATCTCTCTGTCTGTTCAGCCGCAGCCACATTGCTATTTTTAGCATGCTAGCTCAATCAAAGCTAGCCCAGATACGTCTACCCAACCTGGAAATTATACCTCCAGCCAGGGCCAGGTCCAGGCACCAGCTTGTCAAGCAGGTGCTTGGGGCGGCCACTCTGGAGAGGGGCGGCACATCCAGCTATTCAGCGGCAATTCGGCGGAGGGTCCCTCACTCCTGCTTGGAGCCAGTCTCAGGCTTAGACAATGGTCTAACGCTCTACACGGCTCCTGGAAACAGCTGCATGGCCCCCCCCCGGCTCCTACGCGTAGGGGCAGCCAGAGGCCTCCACTCTGCATGGTGCCCCCGCCCCAAGGGCCACCCATGCAGCTCCCATTGGCTGGGGACCACAGCCAATGGGAGCTGCAGGGGCGGTGCCTGTGGATGGGGCAGCGTGCAAAGGCCGTGCCTCTGAGTAGGAGCTGGAGAAGGGACATGCTGCTGCTTCTGGGAGCCGCTTGAGGTAAGCGCCACCTGGAGCCTGCATCCCTGAGCCTCTCCCCATGCTCCAACCCCCTGCCCCAGCCCCACCCCAGAGCCCGCACTCCCAGCCGGAGCCTGCACCCCTTCCCACACCCCAACTGCCTGCCCCAGCCCTGATCCCCCTCCTGCCCTCCAAACCCCTCGGTCCGAGCTCAGAGCACCCTCCTACACCCCACACTCCTCGTCCCCAGCCCCACCCCAGAGCCTGCACCCAGCCAGAGCCCTCACCACCCCCACACACCCCACTCCACCACCGCAGCCCGAAGCCCTGTCCTGCACCCTGATCTCCTCATTTCTGGCCCCACCCCGGAACCCGCAACCCCCAACCAGAGCCCTCACCCCAACCTCAATTTTGTGAGCATTCATGGCCCACCATACAATTTCTATTCCCAGATGTGGTCCTTGGGCCAAAAAGTTTGCCCACCCCTGTTATAGACTATTACTCAACAATGGGATGTTAGGGGGCTTTCCCTGTTTATCATATATATTTTGAAATATATATTATAAATAAACAAACATATTTGATAATATGGTACAAAACTCACTTTTTGAAATTGCAATACTAATGGAAAAACTGAAATCTGTTTTTTTCACAAATAAATGTATTAATACAAATTACTTTCAATCCTTTTGGTTGATTTATAGGTGTTATTTTGTGTACTTCAGCAAATTCCTTAGCTCTTAATAGAACAATCAGTTTTTAAACATTGAGAAAAACATATCAAGAACACTGCATTTGTAATTGAATATGAATATCCTGTTCTGACATAATTTGTCTTATTTTTGGTTTAGGGTGATATGGGATTGCTGGGCCCAAAGGGATCAGTAAGTATGATTAACTACACTGTTATAGAAAATCAAAGGTATAATAAATTGCGTGGATCGTTTTCCGGTTTAGGAAACAGAGTACAAATATTTAGCTCTTCAAGAACTGCCGTGTAAGCAAATGAAATCCCACACTCATTTTTTGTTTTTAAAATTCTGGATGATTCTAATATGCAGACTAACTTTGAATAGGAATTCTCATCTTGCAAATTAAACCCTGTAAAAGAACATGGTAGTTTTATTTGCAGTTAGGATACGACTTGTGGCTATGTCAGTTTGCAGAGTGAGTGATATTGTATAAAAGTACTGTCAACACGGTGTCCTGTAGACAGTATATAGTCCTTCTTCTATGACAGTTCTGGCTATTGGGTTATAATGTCTTTGAAAACAAAATTATTTCTGGTACCAATCCCATGTACTACCTTATCCTGAAATTAAAGATAGTGGGCTGATGGGGAAGCCTAGCAGAAGCACATTATGTACCATAGAGGAAAAAGAATAGGAGATTTCATCTTGATCCTTTATTTTTGGATCATCCCAGGTTGGGAGTATTACTGTAGCTGAGGGATTGGTCTGTAACAATAACTGTTCTTACCATGAGAAACTGAGGATGGATGCTATAAAGAAAAGCTCTGCCAGCATCCTCAATGGAAGGTGGAATCGTGGGTCTGAAAAAGCCTTCAAGCAAGCACTAGAATCAGGAGCTTTAATGGAATAAATGAAACAACATGGGATCTTCCAAGGCAGTGGGTCTCAAACCATTGTACAGGTGACCCCTTTCAGATAACAAGCCTCTGAGTGCGACCCCCTCATATAAATTAAAAATATTTTTTTATATATTTAACACCATTATAAATGCTGGAGGCAAAGCGGGGTTTGGAGTGGAGGCTGACAGCTCGTGACCCCCCATGTAATAACCTCATGACCCCCTGAGGGGTTTTGACCCCCAGTTTGAGAACCCCTGTTCTAAGGACTGCTGCCTAAAATCACACTGTTCCTTTACTGTGGCCGTAGACTGATCATCTTGGTGAGTGGTTCCGCAATGGAAAGAGAAACTTGGCAATTGGTCAGATACGGTGAGAAAGAGAGACTGGGGCAATGCAGAGCCTTCAGGATTGGGAGAGCATTTGTAATAAACATGTTAAAGCTACTTGCTGGATTTCCTTTGTGCAAGTCCAGTAGCCTTTAAGATAGCTCCATCTTGTGGGTTTAACAGAGATCACATATGGGTAATTTACCACATTTGTGGGCATCCCCTTGAGTTGGGAAGTTCCTTGTTTCTGATAGATTTGGGGATACCTAAAGTGCGTGGGTATTTATTTATTATTATTTTATTGTAGTAGCACCCAGAGCACCAGTCAGGTCAGGGCCTCATTGTGCTGAGTGCTGCACAAACATATGGTGAGAGACCGTCCCTGACCCGAAGAGTTTATAGTCTAAGGCCTGCACTCCACTAGAAAGTGTTTGCCCATATTCCATATAGCCGTATAGATATACCGGCAACCCCCTTCCTTCCCTTCTCCCCCCGGGGGAGACACAGCTCATCTACACTAGGACCTGCTATGTCAGGGTGTGTGTGTGTGATTTTTTCATACTCCAAACCAACATAGCTATGTCGGTAAAACTTTAAAGAGTAGATCAGGCCTAAGGCGCCTGCAACGTGTGTGTAAGGCAGAGTTCTGTGCCCAGGCTGAACCCAAATGAGGTAAACAAACTAACAACCCCTCCCCCCCCGATCTTCTCAAACTCCTCTGCCTGATCTCCTTGGCCCTCCGTGTGGGCTCAAGGGGCTGACGGTGTACAGCAAATTTTAGAATCAGGGTCTGAGGCTCTAATCCTGGAAACATTTACACACATGCTTAACTCTGAGCATATGAGCAGTCCAATTGATTCATGTGCATTCAATTTAGCAAATATGTAAGTGTTTGCAAGACTGGAGCCTGCATATTCATATGTACTTCACTACAAAAAAAATCCATCAAAACTTTCCCCCAGTTCCATACTGTCAGAGAATATCATGTTTATGCAGAATTTCATATTAGCTGATAGCACATACTTATGCTGTTGCAGTTGCCAGGCAATGGGTCTGCAGGGATTAGTAGCTGGAAGGCAGTCAGAACTTTTGTCATTAGAGGAGTATTAGGCATCTGGAAAAGAGAGGGAGGTCAGACAGGGTGGGGAAGTCAGTTGTCTTGTTACTAGGGGTAGCTTCTGGGGCCCCTCTTCCAGTGGGATTGCGCATGGTATGAATTAGGGCAGAACTTGGCCTGAAATTTGAATATGAATATACTTTTAAGAGTTGTGCATCAAAAAAATGTCTTATATGCATACCTAAAATGGATGCTGATTAATCTGTGTCAGTGGAATGGTTTATTATTCACCACTAAATTCAGGAATACAGAACTCTTCAGGTAAGGCTATATGTCCCAGGATGGTTTTGTCACTGCTGACTCCAGTAACCTATTTAAAAAGACATAGAAAGCAACTCTTCTGGTCCGATCCCTGCCACTCTGCAAGCATTGACTGATCTAGGCTCATATATGGTTCTCTGAGACACAGAGGGTACATCTACACTGCAATAAACAATGCATGGTATGGCTGCGGCTGGCCTACATCAGCTGACCTGGGCTCAAGGGGCTCTAGCCTCAGGGCTAAAAATGGCTGTATAAATCTTTGCGTTTGGGATGGAGCCCAGGCTGAGACCCCACACATGGGAAGGTTGTGTTGGGTAGCTGGATAGGTAGCTGCTGGGGCAGCTAGAGTTAGTTAGCTGCTGGTGGGTGCTTAGGAGCTGTTAGCTGGGGCAACGTGATGGGGGAGGCTGTTGCAGCTGCAGGAGGATGCAGGAGGATGCAGCTGCAGGAGGATGCTGGGTCCCTCACTTTGTCCTTGTGCTGCCACTTCCTCCTCTTCTCACTGCTCCTTTCTGGCTGTGCTCAGCAGAGGGAGCAACAAGCCAGGAAGCACTTGGTTGCCTGATCAGCAGACACCACAGCAGCCCCATGTGATCAGAAGAAAAAATTTCAGGCAAATGCCTATTGCCTTCCTACAGCTCAGGTGGCTGAGATGGAAGAATGCAAGACCCTTGACAGACTTGCAAGCCAGACTTTCTTATTAAACAAATGCAGCTTTTACTTTGCAGCAAAGATGGCTATTGCAAGATCCTTGCACCTTTTCATTCAGTGAGTGTAAAGAGCTGTGGCCATTAACACCAACTGCTTAATTTCTGTTTCTTTGAAAAGCTAAAAGATTTCAGTAAAGCTTCTTCCTTATGGTCATGAGGCTGCAGCTTAAATGCACTTTGATTACCTTTCTTCAGCGTATCTAATATTTATATTTATAGATTACAAAATGGGATGCTTCAATCTGCCTTAGTTTATGGCCTTTTTGGTTCGTAGGTTACTTTTAAATATTTAATATTATAGGATTTGTGCAAAGGCTTAATAAAAAAATTAGTTCTGCTTCAGGGACTCTGAATAAGTAATATAGCATTGTGGAGGTGACTACCTGGGTCTGTCAAGTGGCAGTAAAGGGCTTGTTTTACAAGTATCTCTTTCCAATCAGTTTATGGGCTGCATTGTCAGGGGAAATAATTGTTCCCCCAGATGAAGATGCTGACGTCCTCAGAACACCATGTGTGCTTGCTTCAGTGGCTCTGCCCTGGCACAAAGAGAACAAATCCTTGGATGATTGAACGCTCCCCTCCTAAAAGGCACATTACTTGTCTTTTTGTGCAGTGTGGCTAGTCTGGGGACCTTTCATCCTTACATGTGGGTTTCACAGGACCCTACTACAGTAGCCTGTACTCACCAAGCTGAGCTTGGCTACCACAGAAAGGGCAGTGCCCGCACAATGATATGTTCCCCTTCCTTCCCTGACTCCTCCTTGGGAGTCCACGGGGTAGGAAGGGATGAGAGCTCTCTGTGGGATTTTCCTTCCTATGGAGGAATGTGGTGCCAGTTACTGCAGAGAAAGTCTTTAGTAAGTTACAATGCTTACCTCCTTTCTGCTGTTCTAGGAACAGATGCAGGTGAAGGGATCCCATTGGAGGCAAGACATTGGGGGAAACAAGTGACAATGTGAAGGCCTAATGTCTCCATGCACAAGCCCCTTGTTTCTGAAGATCCACCCCGATCTGTGAAGGAAGAATCAGAAAAAAATTATATGAGAGTTTAAACACAGGAGGTAAAATCCTAATCCTATTGGGGTCAAAAGGAGTTTTGCCATTGACTTCAATGGGGCCAGGATTTTACCCATAGAGTTTCAACTTCCCTATGCAGGTTCACCCTGCACAGAGGAGCATCCAGCTCTTAAAATAACGTGGGCTGATATGTATAATAGAAAGTTTTATAATCCACTAACCAACCCTTCTTTTATTCTGGATTTTAGTGCATCCCTTCCCTCATGCTATTCCCTTTGTAACAGAAAGGATATTTTTCTTTAACAAAAACAAAGAGTCAAATAATAGCCAACAGAATTTGACAGAGGTGGCCATCATCTTTCATAGTAAGCAATGTGAAAGCGTAGGCATTGCACACGGCATATCTGTTCCTGCAGAAACATAGTGTATGGCTTGTATTGCAAAAATGCAGTCATACAAAATCACTGTCTCTCATTTGTAGGTTGGTAACCCTGGTGAGCCTGGCCTTCGTGGACCTGAAGGAAGTCGTGGACTGCCTGGCATAGAAGGGCTACGAGGCTCACCTGGACCTCGCGGTTTGCAAGGTGAACAAGGTGCTCCAGGTCTGCCTGGCAGCCAGGGTCCAGCAGTAAGTGCTATTTTTATGTTACACAGATTTCTCTGTCTCTCAAACACCACATACAACAAGGTATGTAGTTATAACGGAGATGTGTTTGCTGCTGGTGGGTTGGGGACATGCGCATGAAGCCCAGGTGACTTCAAACACCCCACACATTCTGGAATACATTATTCCTTTATAGGTGGTAGTGCTACTGAAAAGAATCTGGGGGCTATAGTGGATCACAAATTGAATATGAGTCAACAGTGTGATGCGGTTATGAAAAAGGCTAATGTTCTGGGGTGTATTAACAGGAGGGTCATATGTAAGACATGGGAGGTAATTGTCCCAATCTACTTGGGACTGGTGAAGCATCAGGTGGAGTGCTATGTCCAGTTCTGGGCTCCACATTTAAGAGAGATGTGGAGAGAAACTGGAGAGAATCCAAAAGACAGCAACAAAAATGATAACATTTAGAAAATCTGGCCTGTGAAGAAAGGTTAAAACAAATTGGGCATATTTAGTTTTGAGAAAAGAGGACCGGGGGAGGGGGAATCTGATAAGTCTTCAAATATGTTAAGGGCTGTAATAAAGAGGACTGTGATCAATTGTTCTCCATGTCCACTGAAGGTAGGACAAGAAGTAAAGAGCTTAATCTGAAGCAAGGGAGATTTAAGTTATATATTAGGAAAACTTTCTAACTCTAAGGGAAGTTAATTTCTGGATCAGGCTTCTAAGGGAGAAAATGGTATTCCTATCATTGGAGGTTTTAAAATTGGACAGACACTTGTCAGGGATGGTCTAGGTTTATCTGATCCTGCCCTAGTGCAGGGGATGGACTTGTCTTCCCAAAGTCCCTTCCAGCCCCATATTACTATGATTCATGTGACAATTGGCTACAATGTAGTAATGTCACATATCTGAATAGCTGGAACCTATGGTACTCAGTCTGCAGCCTGACTTTTTCTATTCATGTTCTTATACTGCATGCATTCCTGTGGTATGTGTGTATCAAGATCACAAAAGTGGTCCATACACTGATACTCCCATTGACTTCTATGGGACTAGTCACATGTGTAAGGTTGAAGAACTGGAACTTTTATCATCAGCCAGCCAGCGTCTTAATTACATTCTCATTTTATAAATAACGACTGTATATTAACTGCTATTAAATATTTTTATCCCAGGGTAGAGAGCCAACAGATCAGCACATTAAACAGGTCTGCATGAGAGTCATGCAAGGTAAATAATTGCAATGTTTAATCTTTCTTGTGCATTTAAAGCAGGGGTGTCAAACACCAGTCCGCTGGTTGGATCCAGCCTCCTTGATGTATTAGTGTGATCCATTTGACATATTCAGATTCTGCAGAATCTAAGCTTTGATTTTTTTAAAAAAGTAAGTTTCTAGCCCTCCTACTTGCAAAGATAATCTTCCAGTGTGAAGCAAGTTTAACCCAGAGTCCACAGAGAACCTGGAACAATCACTCCTGTTCCATTTATTTTAGGGGGGTGTCTGATGATGACATTTTAAATGTCACCATTAACTATTTGATTGCTGATCATTTTAGCAGAAAGAATAAGGGAGGGGTGGGAGTACAGCACATAGGAAAGCAGGAATTGCCACAAGGAAGAAAATGCCAAGGGAAGAAAAGAGGTGACAAAGGAGAGGGATAGAGAATGGGAAGGAAGAGAAATAAATACCAGAAATAATAGTGGTCCTAAAGTTGAGCCCATTTTTCCATTAAGTGATATTAACTGTCACAAAAGCTATTGAGCAAAGAGAAAACAATTGTGATAATATATAATTATTACACAAAGGCCATCCTGTGCCCTTGATCTTTATGCAAACTCTGTACTGTCTTCAGAGCTCAGCTGTGGACTAAGGGTGCTTCTAAAGCTGTAACATTTATTAAAAATTTAACTTGTCCCCATATACAGAATGAGTTTGATCTCCCTGGAGTAAAGAAAGTAGAATTTGGATTAGTTCATTGTACTCTTTCTTGGATTGAATGCTTTCCAATGAAAATAACCGATAAAAGAAACATTCCCCTCACTTACACCCTGTGCAATACCATTGACTGATGCAGGGACTAAATAGAGGCAGAATTTGGGGCTTTATCAAGCAGAGACTGTTTTCATGCAAATAATTGTGGACGAAGTCCAGCAGTATTGGGCCCCCGTTGGTTTAGAAACAAAACAATTGCCAAATAGGCTCATTGTGTCCAAAACAATGTAAAATTATATTTGTAGAGTCAAATCCTGCCCCCTCGCCCCCAAAACCCATTCAGCCCTATGGAGTTCTCTGGTATAACTCTGCCTGTCTTGGGGTTAATAAACTAGTAGTTAGTAGTTAGTAAAGCTAATTACTGTCATCATTGAGGGGAGAGTTTGCATTTATATGTACACTTGGAAGCATTAGATTTGTTTTTTATCAGTAAGTGTCAATTTCACTGTACACCCACAAACCACCAAAAATATTTCCACTGCTAATAATCGAAATTTACAGATAGGCAAAGTTAAAAAAAATGCTGCTTGAGAACTTATTGGAGTTTGATTTAAGAATATTTACTTGGTATATGTGACATGTGATGCAGATAGTGTGTTTTAATGGTTATAAAACTTTAACTTTTTGAATGTCACCACCTCTTGTTATTACATAATTATTATATGACTTGTTGTAATAATTAGGCCTAAAAATTTACCCTAATTGTAAGCTCAACTGTAAAAGTATGTAAAAGTTCATAAAATGTCATAATAACCTATAATAACAAATGTTAATGAAAAAAGGGATGAAAAGAAGAAAGACCGAATTAATCCTAACAAAAGGGCCTACTAATATGGTTCAAATACGATGTTAAAATCATACTTAGTAAAAACAAAACATATAACATCAGAAATTAATAATTGGTATGTCATATATTTAGGCCTAATTGGTAAACAAAATGAGGGGATGGGCTATTCTACCCATCACTGAGTTTTTTGGGTCCTTAAAAAAAGAGACTTTGCGGTAAAAAAGATGGAAAAACAGATGGAAACTATTGAAGCAAGCTTCACCATCATTTCTGCCACCCTACCATCTCTTGGAACCCTAGGCCTTCGTCATTCTAATCCTGAAAAACTCCCTACCCAAACCAGGCCAAAAAAAGGAACCCAAATAACATCACCACCTCTACTGGCTCCAGCTAAATCCCAGACACCACCTAGAATAAAATAGAATCAGACTTGAACAGCAGCAGCAGCTCTTGCTCATCTCAACTAATTTCTTCTTTTACCCAAAAACCAGTTACTACCATCTTGGATACCATCCAAGAGACTGTCAAATAAGAAGGTTTTTCCTTCTGAAAACTCCTTCCAGCTAAAGGGAAAGGGAACAAGGAATGTTGTTAAAATAAAAGCCTTACTTGATACTTTTACATTTCAGATACTTTAACTGTTTTCCTTCTTCTTTGTATCTTTAATAAAAGGTTAAAAAAATGGTGTGTTTTCCATAGTACTAAGCAAGCTAAAGTTTCTGTGCATCAAACCCCGAACCTTGTTTACATTGTTTAATGTTAGACAGTAACTAAATAATGTTAACACCTTTGGTCCATATATTCCATCAAAATTAATATAACAGACCCTTTCATAAGTTCCTGCAAATGTGAAAATTTAAATAGATAAAAAATTCTTATATCCCATAATTTGCACAACTGTGAAAATCTAAATTGAGAAAAATAGAAAAAAAAACCACATTAAAATAACCAGTGATATTATCCATCAAAGTTATAAAGAAAATAAAAATCAAATTCTGCCAAACCTGTTTATATGTCAGGAATTTGCATCTCTATTTATTAAATTGGAGAGTGGATTAAACTGTGGTTTAAAAAAACCCATCATTGTGGGCCAGATGCTGCAGTCTAACAGGACCCGAATGTGGAGGTGGGGAGGAAAGGCAGCATTAAACCACCTTTACGCTAACCTGATTCTGCGGCTGACTAGAGGCTGGTCCCACTCCCAGCATAAGAGCAGCCTCAGAGCTGCCCTGACTTGCTCGCAGATGCTCACAGCTCCATGGAACTTTTCCATCAGCCAAGGCTAGCCAGAGCAGAGCAGTGCTTCAGACACTCTCCCTTTCCCCAGATATACCATCCCTGCACCCCAGTCTGGGGAAAAGAGGTGGGTTAGAGCTACTATGCTGGCTCTACATGTCCTGCGGATTCCACTTACACAATGGGAATCCCCAGGCAGCTATTTAAGCAGCCAGATCTTAGGAGAGGATTCAGCTCTCTATCCACAATGGATATTGATTGGTAAGAATTTTAGAACAAGAGCTAGAGAACAGCCTCTCATGGGAACCCCCACCCCCCAGGAGAAAGCACTGTCATGATTCCCTCACAGATTTCTTCCACTATGGTCCCACTGGGGAAGGGGTTACTATCTCTGCCCTCCCCTGTGGAGCAGGCACAGATCCCTGCAGAGCCTTGTAGCCAACTGCATAAACCATCTGCCACGGCTGCCCCAAAGCCTGTATTATCTTTTTTGCAAACTCTCCTTACATCTGGGAGGGGACAATGTTTATCCCCTCATACCAACTACTGCCTAGGCCCCAGCTTTCCCTATCAAGGTTTCAGGACCCACAGAGTGTCCTCTGCTGGTGGGAGCAACTGTGCCAAGGGGTTGTCTGAGCCTTCCTACTTTTATACAGAAAAGGGAGATGGATACAGATAGGGTTGCCTCTGCTTGAGGACCTGAGTCAGCCAATCCCACCCATATTACAGAAAAATGAACATCTCTTATCTATCAAACAGTCCTTTGCAGCCCATTGAATTGCCAGTTCTTTTGTGCAGAGAGTTCCCTACAGTTCCCTGCTATTACTATGGTAACTGGAGACTGGAAAGTGTTTTTATGAAAAAAGTAAACTTTGCATAATCTGAAATCACTATGCTTCAAATATGATGGTAACTGCCTGCACTGAAAATGTGATTTGCCATTGGTACTTGTTCACTGTTAAAATTATAACATTCAGCCATCCACTTGCAATATAGATATATAAATGTAGAGAGATGGTAGGGCCTTATAGGATTAAGTGACATGTCAAAATGAAAATCATGGGCAAATATTCAATCCCCTAACTCTATTTGTTTGGTGAGATTTGAGTCTAAACATTTATACCGTCCTTGAAGCATCAAAGAGATTTTTAGATGTCTGCCATAGAATAGAAGATGCCCTTTGGAAATTAGGCTATCATTTACCGGGATGACATTATTGTTCTTTATTATTTAATTTGAAAATTCTCAACAGTTTTTTTGAAACTGCCCAACAGGGTATTATCTTATTTCATTTCAGATTTGATTGCTCTAGCAACACAATATTTTGATCTGTCCGTTACCAGTATTAAAGGACCTTTCTAAAAGAAGTGTTCTCTTGAAAGGTAGAAAATACAAGGCTGTGGAAGAGGCTTATAATGAGATCAGCCCTAGAACTTGAGGAATATACTTACAGGCATCACAGCTAGTGATGAATAAAATGATCTGGAAAAATCTGTATTGTCCCATTGTACCCATTCAGACCTCTCCAAACAACACTCAAACCTTTCAAATATTCATATCCAAACTACATTGCTCCTGAAACCCACCTTGTTTAAAGACAACTGCCTGAAGCCCAGCTCTTCATGCTCCAAATGTCTCTCTCACTTACATATTGAATCCTGCCTTCTATGCAGCTGTCCCCAGGCTCCCAAAACTGTAGTACCTTCCTGTCCCTACTGGAATCATGTGCTTACACATTCTAGGATCTCTGTGTTCCTTTCCTGTTGAGAAGAGTGTTTAGCCAAGAAACACAGACTGTCTGGCACAAAATTGGGACTGACTGTGCCTAGGAATGGTTGTTAAATGTAGGCGAGGATCTCTGGACGGAAGAAGAGAACTGAATAGTCTGAAAAGGGGACTACTGCCACTAGAATGAGTATGGCAGTGGCTTGAAAGAGAAGGAAGAAGATGAAGTAGTCTGTGGAGGCCATTCTAAGGAATGTTGAGGAACTGATCCTACTCCTATAACAATCAAAAGAGCTTTGCCATTGACTTTAATGAGACAAGTAACCATCTGAAACATGCAGAAAAATTCATGCACACTTACAAATTGAATTTATGCACATTGTCATGGCAAATTAAGTGCAAATTTGAGTATTTCCCCCTGAAAATGTGGGTTTAGGAGCTGCTCTCTTTAATTACCTCATGTGCCATGTCTTGACTTAGCATTATATGTAGGATGATATATTTCTTCCTTATTTTGGTATTCTTTATATGCCCTTTCTTTTGAGGCCAGATCCTAACATTAACTACAGTAAAATTGAAACCCACCCACCCTTTAAAGAGGCACTCTTATTTTCTATTTAATTAATTTTACATATAGACATTTTACAATGTATATAATTTATGTAGATCATTTTAGATTCTCACAGCCACAAAATGTTTCGAGCGTGAGGTTCAAAAAGCACAAGACACTACTTTGTAGGATACGTATATAGTAAGCAGCTTGCTATTGACAGCACTGGCTCACAGAAGCCTCCTGTGTCATGGCTTATGGAAAATGCCCTGTAGAAACATTGTGTGATGTCATGTGCGTCATCCTTCTCTAACAGCTTCCATGGTACAGTATTTGCTGTATGTCAGCTATCCTTTTCCCTTAGTGACAATCAAATACAAAATGCTCTTTACACTCTTGGGAAAGCCACTTAGTGCTCAACTAATTTAGGGTCTGTCTCTTAATTTCTCCCTTCCTGTTTCTTTCTTACAGAACAACTTGCTCAGCTAGCAGCCAGCCTTAGGAGGCCTGAATCTGGTGCTACAGGTCTCCCAGGTCGACCTGGACCACCAGGTGCTCCCGGGCCTCCTGGTGAAAACGGCTTCCCAGGACAGATTGGATCCCGTGGTTTGCCAGGTCTTAAAGGTCCTCCTGGGGAGATTGGTTTTAAAGGTCCAAAAGGTAAGAGAAGCTGTAATAGGCTTTTTAATTTGTGAAGCATAAATGCTGCCTGCTTTTTGGTATGATGACTTACTTATAATATGGAATCAAATCACACTGAAGTGATGTTGACCTTCCAAGCAACTAATTTAATCAACACAGAGTATGGCCTCATGAGTTATCTGGGTCGTAAAGCTTTGAGCACTTTGATTTTAGGATTAATACTTTAACCTCCTTTCTCTGCCGGCAAAGTGTCTGAATTTAAGTCTCTAATTTTTCTTTCCTTATTGTTTACTTTAACCTGCTAAGCCTTGAATTCTAGTGTCTCTGGGCACATCTAGACTGCAAAAAAGCCCCCTGTGGCAGCAAATCTCTGAGCCCAAGTTTACGGAGTCTGGCTCATGGGGCTCAAGATATGGCACTAAAAATAGCAGTGAATATGTTCCCACTTGGGCTTGAGCTCAGGCTCTGAGACCCACCCTCCTCACTATATTTCAGAGCCCAACTGGGAACATCTCATTGCTATTTTTAGTGCCATAGCGTGAGCCCCAGGCTGTATACCCGGCCTCCCAGATTTGCTGCTGGTGGTATTTTGCAGTGTAGACAAACCCTCTGAGGCACAGAAAGATAAAGGGCTGAGGGACTAAGGGCCAAATGTTTAAAGGTATTTAGGTGCCTAACACCTAACATCCAGATGCTCAAGTGGTTCTGAAAATCCCACTATGCACCTAAATACCTTTAGATCTCTGGTCCAAAATGACTTGCCTAAGATCACATAAGCCTCAGTTCAGCAAAGCATTTGGTCTTAAATCCAACCCTAGTCATCCAGTCACTTAACCACATGCTTAACTGCTGTGCTGATCAGGGATGGACTTCTGAATTGGGGCCATCATGAATAAATGGCAGGGTCTTGCCTCCTCGTTAATCCTTAGAACCCTCCTCACATCCATTTACTACATCTCTTCCCCCCACTCGGGGTGTGTCCACACCAGTGGTAGCTAATACATGGTAAAATCCTAGGATGGACAAGGCAGCTTGGCCTTTCATACATTAGTAAGTTGAGATAAACAGTAGGAGGAAGAACTAGCAGGAAAATACATTTTCCCCCCTAGTGAAGACAGGGCCGTACAGTCTTCTCTCTTTTATTTACCTAGTCACTTTACATCTGCTTAGTTTTTACCATGTCTCCAGTATGTTCATCCTGCAGCTCACACAGATGGTGCTCTTTGTCTTCTGATACTCCCTCTGAATGTAAAACCAGCCATGTTTCATCAACAAACATCACTTATTCATTAAACTTTACGGTAGTATCAGCAATCATTTTAAATCCATCAGATCTCTTAGTTTACAATCGATGGACAAATCTTCCTTACTGTTTTCCTATAATAAACAAACAAATTCTACATTCAGCACCATTGCACTGTACATTGCAAAATCTATTGATCCTTTGAAAGGGTGAAATCTGTGTTAAGGAATTGGCTTACCCAATGTATTAAAAATCTTTATTTAATCTAAATTAATAATTTTTTGTTCCTGACTGACAGGGGGTTTTGCCTTCAGAGGATGGTTGGGGGAAATTTTCTGCAAAACTAAAGTACTTATTTCTATTTCCAGCCAGCAGTGGGTTTTTTTTCTTCTCCTTCTTGAATAAGGGCAGCAACAGTATCCTTTTAAAAATTCTCTTCCCTTGTAAAACCCTCTGGGTAACAGGATTGGAGTGTTAGTTTTTGTCAAAAGCAAAATCATATAAAACCCTGATGAGAGGTACAGTATACAAGGAAAACACAAACTTTAATTACAGTGGTGCTAGAGATCTGCAGCTACATTAATGTAGGAATAGCTCAAGGAATTATTTTCAGGAAATTCTATGGCCTGTGTTATATAGGAGGTCAGACAAGATGATCACAGTGGTCCCTTCTGGCCTAGGAATCTATGAATATATAATGTAGTCTCACCCACATTCTCTTCTTACAAAGTGGAAAAAAATAGAGGCACAAAAGTTCACATACTGAACACTCTTTACCTGGCCAAAAATGTTGTTATAAAATACAAGAAAAAAAAGTTTAAGCATAAACACTAAATGAAAAACAGCAACTAGAAAAAGCAACTTCCTATAGCTCCATGATTCCATGGTACCCTCTGGTAAATTTGTGGGTGCATTTCTAAGTACCTCAATAGTAGTATATGTCCTATCCCATGCAAGGGTTTTTGTAGTAAAGAGTGTTTTTTAGTCTGTAAAACAGCCATCACCTGAAATTGTATACATTTGTCAGTAATTGTGCTTTGGACCAACCCTTACAGAAAGGTTTCTTTGCATGTAACGGTCAGGTAATTTTTCTGCACTCTTGAATGCAAGAGAACTAGGGTAGGAAAGTGAGATAAGTTCAGGGAAAGCTGCTGCAGAGGCTTCAGTTCAACCTAAACAACTGGAATTGCAGGAGCATTTTGATGTTGTTTGTTAAGGGGAGCTATCTGAGACATTTCAGTCTGTATCTACTTTGGCACCTAGACACCAAGATGATCAGTGCCTTAGAAACACTGATATATACTAAGTGCTTCTGATCTTGCTAGTTTGGCTTTGGAAGATGGAAAGAGTTTTTAACTGCTGTCAAGGAAAAAATGATTCTGCAGAAGAATTACATGCTGCCGTTGATCTGAACTAAATACATAGTACAGCTCTGAACGTGATAATCCCTGCCTTCTAGCACTATTTTATTAATAAATGCCAAAAGGGTACATGGTGTTCTGCAGTAGGCAAACTGTGTCAAACAAATAACAGGTTCCTGCTCTGAGAATCAGTGTTACCATCTGAATGCACAGTGGTGACCGAGAGTTTATAGAGACATACAGAGACGTGGTCCTGAATGCAGGGGGAAAAGTGAGGACTGGGAAGGTATAGCTGGGAGCTATTTGCAAAGAGGTGAACCCATGGGATTGGAAGAGGTCACCCAGGAAGAGAGTCAAAAGAGAAAAGAAATGAGGTCCAAGCAGGGTCGCCAAGTACTATGGAGCCATGGAAGAGCACGCTAAAAGAATAGTCAGAGAGGTGAGAGCACAATGCAATGGAAATCTGGAAGGAGAGTGTGTGAGGAGTGATCAACTGTGTCAAGGGTTGAGAAGATTGGGTCTGAGGGAGCAGGTCGTTAGTGAGAGCAACTTTGGTGGAATGAAGGAAGCCAGAAATGGAAATTCAGTCGAAAGCCACTTTGAAGCAGGTCAGAAAGAAAACTGGAGGAAAATTATCAGAGGGTGCAGCTGTAAATGATACACTCAAGGAGTTTAGTGCAAAGAGGAGAGGCGTGTGTCTATAACTGGCAGTAAACACTATTCCAAAGTTTGCAGTAGTTTGGAGTACTAAAATATATATGGGTAATGTGACATCAAGGCTCGCTGCTGCTGTAATTACCAGGACAAGGTTAATCTCCAAGTGGCGTGGGCAGCTGTAATCTTCTCTGAAATTTAGAGATAGCAGCTTCCTCCTGTAGCACACATTCGGCATCCTCAATGGATACTCAAACATGTGTGCTATCTCAACAGCATCAGCTCAAACGACTTCCCAAGAAGTTTCTGCTGTGCCCTTTCTAACTAAGTGATAATTGGCTATTCAGTCAAACTCACCATACCGGCTGTAGCGAGTTAGGACCATGAAAAGAAAAGAAACCATTCTAGTTTTTATTATAAACTTTCTCAAACATTATTAGATTTATACTTCAAGGGTTAAAATACTAACTTTCTATCTGCTTCAGAATGCCAAGGGATTGCATAGGCCTCTTCAAAAGAGATGAAAGCATCTACAGTGACTCTATATGGGGTGGACAGC